CTCAGGGTTTAAAACCACAGAATATGTATCATTGAATATAAATCACGCAAATTTTGCTTTATAAAGTCTGATCACAAGACTAATATACAGGCTGCCTTTAGATCATCTCCTCTGAAGTATTAAAATAAATTATTTTAAACAGAATATCGATTTTATATCATGACTCTACCTGGCGATATAAACCTGAACATAGCGTTTTAATTTGCGCGTTTGCTCAATATATAGTTTTAAATGAAACTATTGAAATATTCTGTGTTTCGCTATTATTTCAAACTTTCCTACTACTAGCTTTTGTCGGTAACCAACCCTCAGCCTCCCATACAATCAATGTCGTCTAGCYGTTATATATATAATGGAAACTACACTGCATGACAAAGTGTAATTTTACCCTTCACATTTATTGTTGAGTAGCTTATTAACTGTTTTTAAGCGTTAATACAGAACACCAAAAAGAAAACATCGGATCATGTAGGAAATAAATTTGTTAGAGTATGTGTTAGGAATTTGTGTAGAATATGAAAAAGTACAACAATTTCAGTTTGAGAATAACAATTTCATAGTTGATTTACGAATCCAGTGTAATTAACATCACTCTTAATCATCTTTGGTGGGTGGTTGCAAAACAATCAATTGAAAAAATTACCATCAGGCATTTTCAGTGACAACAACTGGTTGGCTGACTTATAAGTTTGGTCCTTCCCTTTTTAAATAAAGAACGCATCAAATACATCCCGAGTAGGCGGGAATATCAGCAGATCAGAGCAGCGATTTTCGAGCGAATTTCATTAGTATTTTCCATAGACCCCTCAGTGTAATACCACTGAGAATTATGTGCGTTCTGATGCCCTCAGAATATGGTAAATTGAGGTAAGGGAGGAAAACTTAAACACCCTCTTTGGTGGTTTTACATATAGTACGTTGCAGATTTTGGCCTTGGCGTGCTTCGCAAAACAAACTTTTGGTGCTTTAAGTATACTGCATGAACACTAAAAACAGCAAACAACGTTTCCCTCAATTCCAGTCCATTTTTTTAACTCTTGATGACTCGAACCTTTTCGAATTTCCTTTGAAGGCTCGAGTTATCGGTTGACAGTAGTAAGATTTTAAAAAGGCAAGAAAGGATAAAATGCAATCTCATATAGAGAAGGACGAAGAGAGAACGTTCTCTGCGCACACGAAATAAACAACTATAATTAAGAAATGGCCCCTCTCAGAGGTGTCAGTAATGATGGACGAGAAAATGCTATGGAGGAAAATGCCCTTAGGATATGGTAAATTGAGGTAAAGGAGGAAAACTAAAACATCCTCTTCGGTGGTTTTACATGTAGTGTGTTGCAGGTTTTGGGGCTTGTTGTCCTTCGCAAAACGAAATTTTGGTACTATAAGTCTACCGCATGAATACTAAAAGCAGGAAGCAACGTTTCCTTTAATTCCAGTGTTTTTTTTCTTTTAACTGTTGATAAATCGAACCTTTTTAAGTGTCCCTTGAGGTCCGAGTTATCGGTTGACAGTAGTAAGTTTTTAAAAAGGCAAGAAAGGATAAAGTGCAACCTCACATAGAGAAGGACGAAGAGACAACGTTCTATGCGCACATGGAATAAACAACTTTAATTAAGAAATTATCCCTCTGATAGAAGTCAGTAATGATGGACGAGAAAATACAATAGAGGAAAATGGAAGCACTTGATTTTGAGTCCAGAAATGTTCTTTAAACTTTTGTAGAGCTGTCTCATGTGTCCCCAAAGATTTATTAACCCTTCAAGTAAGATCCTCTTTAATACATGTCGGGCTTCTTTCATTTCTAAGCCTTCAAAGAATTTCAAAGAATTTCTTTAGGAATAATAAATATTTAACACGCTGACATTGCTCAGCGAAGTTTAAACATGGCCTGATCATTTGTGCTTGTACAAATGAAGACACTGTATTAATAAACTTTAACAAAACTGATGAGACATTTTGTGTCCTGGTATCTTACCCTTTCCCTCTCTGCAGTCAATGTCGCCTGGCTTATAATAAGGACTAGTGAGTAATGTCAAGCCCTAATCATGTTTTGCAACAATGGGTAATGGGAGAAGGGAGAATAGGCATGTGTAAAGCATTCACTTGGTTTCAGTCTTTTTACAAATACACACGAAAAACGAGGATCCTAACTTAGCTCTTTAAAAAAGAACACATCAGACACTCAACATTTTGGAGCAACCACAGTTCCTGCACTATGTTGACAAGCACATTTTAATTAACACTCCTTTATATTACTTTTGGTAGGGGGTTGCACAAAAACCAGTTGAAGAAATTACCACCAGGCATTTTCAGTAACAATACCCAGCTGAGATGGCTGTAAGTTTAGAGTTTGTCTCATCTGTGTAAGGAACGCGTCAAATCCATCGCGCATTGGTATAAATACCAGTAAATACGAGCAGCGATGTCTTCGCTCCAAATAAAATCAGTTTCGAAGGAGGAATGTTCTGTTTAACTGGACAGGGATTTTGTTTTTCCCCTGCAAGTACAATGGTAGAAGCAAGGGGAGTGGAGGGGGGAGATGGGGAGGAAGGTAAAGTCACACATGCCGCCTGTGGACCCCACACTCCAACCCCTAACCTTCATACCTCTCCTCACCTCTGCTGAACATTACATGCCATTCTCATATATACAAATATCTTTCAATTTTGCTCGCTATGGACATTATCAAAGAATATTTGTGAAGGAAATTTGTCGATGAAATTTAAATAGACCAGAATTTCCTTTCGCAGTTTTTTTTTTCTTTTTTTTTGTACTCTCCTTGTCAAATACTATGCTCCTAAACCTAGCGTTTTACAAGTTTTCCCATGTTAAACTTCCTTGGTCAAAAACTGTCATAGCTCGTTGAAAAGAAAATCCAGTAAAAACCAAATAAAGTCATCCATACAATGAAGCGACATTTCACAGGGTCGAGCTCTAAACTTCATAGAACAAATCGAAACAGGGTCAAGTCAATAAACAGTGGGTACTCCTTAATTTAACTATTGTTATATCTTTTTGGTGCGGAAGTCAAAAGAACTTGCTCGTAACNGCAATGGACATTATTAAAGAATACTTGTGAAGGAAAGATGTCGATGAAATTTTAATGGCCCAGACTTTCCTTTCGTAGTTATTTTTCTTTTGTACTCTCCTCGTCAAATACTATCCTCCTAAACCTAGCGTTTTACAAGTTTTCCCATGTTAAACTTCCTTGGTCAAAAACTGTCAAAGCTCGTTTAAAAGAAAATCCAGTAAAAACCAAATAAAGTCATCCATACAATTAAGCGACATTTCACAGGGTCGAGCTCTAAACTTCATAGAACAAATGGAAACAGGGTCAGGTCAATAAACAGTGGGTATTCTTTCATTTAACTATTGTTATATCTTTTTGGTGCGGAAGTCAAAAGAACTTGCTCGTAACACTTTTGGTTTTTAACTTGCAAAACAAGGGCATCAAAATATTATGCAATCTTTAGTTAGTTCAGTACTATTTAGTCATTCGTTCATATTTAGTGCGGGGTTAAAAAGGCCACTCGAAATCAATGGCAAAATTGAGCGGAGCTCAGATTTTACATGTGCGTAATGATACTTAAAGGACCAACTTCAAAGCCAATCAAAAAAGGCAGTAAAACATTGAAACTACTATTAACTTATCATGGACGGCAAAGAGATTCTGTTAGCAGAAAGGACCGCAGATCCGATCGTTATAGCTATGCCGCTTCCACATCTTCCTAGGAATACTGCCCGACAGCCAGGATCCACTAGAGCCACCGGAGAGTGCAATATGTTAACTGCTTATTCCTGTGATAACGGAACATATTTTATTTTTAGATATTCTGTAAATCTATCTATTTCATTTTAGGCGTTAATTATAAGTATTGCATAGGATTGTATTTTATAATGCCATTGTATATTATTTTGACTTCTTTTGTTAATTGTTATTTTTCTCTCGGAAAAATTTTTTTTTGTATAAGCTAATCTTAATTTGGAGAAAAAATAAACTTTATGTATGTATATATGCATGTATGCATGTATGTATGTATGTATGTATGTATGTATGTGTGTATGTAACACAGGTGTAATCAGCTACATAGGGATATCCTTGCGATCCGAGTCCGTCTTGAAAGCCTGTGCCATGGAAATTCAGGCCGCGGAGCAAGTGTAGACAATGCTTCATCAGTTAAGGTGACAGGATGTGTCGAGGCATTCTGTGAGATGCGAGCGCTGGACCTGACAGCTGAAAAAGGGTCAGTAGTGTGGCGGACAGTACTGTCTCCCCAAGAACTGGACTTGAACTTAACTAAGCAGGAATTCCTTGATGCTGACAAACTATCAAAATATTCCCTCCACACGTGTATGTGGGAAGGCTTTTACGCAACACCACGCCATGATTTGTAAACGAGATGGATTTTCATAAAGAGACAGAATGATCCATGAGACCTAGCTGGCAGTTGAACTGTTCAGTACGGTATACGGCGATGTTGAAGTTAATCACATACTTCAAGACATCAGTGGTGAATAGCTGAAAAGAGGAGCTGACAAAACAAAAGGCGCAAGATTGAACCTTCACGCACGTGGATTCTGCGAGCAACAACGAAAGGCATTTCCTGATGTCAGGGTCTGCCATCCAAATACCGAATCGTTTAAGAACAGAGAGCCACAACAGATCTACAGAGTGCATCAGAATGAAAAGAACAGCCAGTACTCAAGGAGAGTTCTCGAAATTGAGCGCAAAACACTCGCACCCCTAATATTTACCACAACCGGCGAGATTAGCCTTGCGGAGCTGATAGCTTTAAAGAAGGAAGACCAAAATGCAAGAACAATCTCTTGGATTGGAGGAAAACAACATCTTTTCCTCTTTGAAGAACAGACCTTAACTGATTAAAGGGTTGCAAGGCAGCGAAGAGAGTCTCGACGATGCAATGAATGCTTATTTTCACAGAGTTAGCGATTCGATCGTGAAATTTGAGATTTTAGGTTTTAAGTCCAGAAGTGTTCTTTAAATTTTCATAGAGCTATTTAGTACGTTCCCACAAATGAAATGAAATTGAATTATTAATCAATCACTTGAAGAAAATACCATCAGGCATTTTCAGTAGCAATATCCTGCTGAGATGCCTGTAAGTAAGGAACCTGTCTTACTTGTGGAATACAAATTTGGTGCAACGCGTAACTATTGGATAATTAAAAGAAAGGCTTGAATGCCCACTAAATACAACAAATCACACTTACGATGCATTTTAAAGAAAAATGGAAAAAATAAAACATTGCATAATTTTGTGTTGTTTCTTTGGAGAAGTCGTTTCAAAAACTCGTACTTCGGGTTTCATCAGGTTTCCAAACGCTTGAAAAAAATTAAACCAAGAGGCAACAGGCCTCGTGGTTTCAAATGTTTTCTCGCGTTTGGAAACCTGATGAAACCTTCGCGCTGGTTTTTTAGATGGTACTAGGAAACGATGTCGTTTTCTCGCTCTCAATAGAGCTGTCTTGCATTCCTCTCCAGAAAAACCGTGATCTCCTTTTGGCAGAGGTTGTGATCATCACTCTTGAAGGAAGGTTACAATTTTAAATTTTGTGATAAGATCATAATTTATTTCAAGCAAGACAAATACTAGTTATGCAACGGTTTTTAGTGATTGTACCTATATGAAATATAATGTCATCTGGCCTCTTAGAAAGGGTTACACCACAATTACCCCTTATATGTATTGTTGGGTGGCTCATTAATTGTTTTTTCCGGCATTCATATGGAACACGGAAAAGAAAGCATAGAACTAACAAAATTAGTTTGTTAGCGGTTATGTTTTAGGAGCTATCCTATCCTATCATCATCTTAATAAGTCAAAATTGATTGAAATCATTGCATATTCTCTCATAAAAAGATATGACTCGACGGCACTGAAACAGTTTTATCGATAAATCGGATGTTTTGTACGAATTTCCATCCATGAGGAAAGCCATAACAGCGCACGTGTGAGATTACGAACATTTTTAAGGTGTGCTTGGCCTTTGTTTGGTATCCTTTAAAGTTAATGACGTAATCTTCACCGGCTTTCTTGTTATTCAAATGCGATCAACGTTCGATTTGGTGGGATTTTGATAAGGCAAGAAAAGATCAAATGCAACCTCAGCGAAGGAAAAAGAGTTAGAGAACATTCTATGTGCACCGAAATGAAAAAAAACAAAAACAAAAACAACTATATACAAGAATTCACCGCTCTACGCTTGCGAGATGTCAGTAGATGATGAACCAAGGTTTGATGAAACCCAGACTGTCCGAGACCCTCGATAGGCAAAAGATAGAAAACGCTGCAGAAAAAAAAGGAAGCAATTGGTTTTAAGTCCAAAAATGTTCCTTAACTTCTTCTTGAGCTGTTTCATACATCACCAAACCCTTCAGTAAGATCCTTTGCAAAACAAAGTTTTGTGTTTGCGCACTGTTCTCATGCTGGAGTCAATTTAAGCTGCAGCTACGGTTGTTGTTCACCACTTTTAGTGACAAAATAATATTGAAGTGAAAAAGTTTCAGCTTTAGAGTCCTGAGAACTCTCTACAAAGATGTATGGGGTTCTAAAGTAGCGAAATGGAAGGCTATTTGTGTTTCTTTTATTCTTCTGTGACCATGGAAAATTACCCTTTTCCTGAACAGTCCAAGAGCTAATTGGTCGTAAGTGGTAGAAAGGGATCAAATAAATTTTTGGGGATCCCTCATAAGAAGGAAGTAATTGGAAAAATTATGGATTAAACTTTTATGAGACTTCCACTAACAAAGGGCAGGATTTAGAAATATTTTAATTGGTTCTTACAAAAAACATTTCTAGATACATATTGATAATGATAATGCGTTAAGAATGATACAGCAGCTGAATACTTGTTACACTTACTAGCTGTCGTCCTGTGTTGACAGGTTCTTGGACGACAACCAGTTGGAGGACTTACCAAAAGACATATTCAATAACAATACGGAATTAGAAGTTATGTAAGTCAAAAAGTACGCAGTATTCTTTCTAGTTTTAATCCCACTGACTTTGGGGAAATAACAGAAGAAAAGATAAATAGATAATTTCATGGATAGTTGTAGCAATAAAAGCTTTAAAAGAGTTAAACTTTGTCGCCAGAGTCGCAAATTTGTATTGTTTGATACATCAGTCCTAAAAGACCCGTCAGGTGAGCTTCTGTTTTGTCTTACACGCAGAAGGAATATAGTTTATACTCTTGGTGACTATTTATCTTCATAAAWTAAGTTTAATGATTAATAATCGAGATATAGCCTTCGGAGCATGAAGGTTTGAAAGGGGGGAAGGAGGGGGGGTAGGGAAGGGAATGGCCACTAGAGAACTAGAGAACTATTTTTGCTTCCCGAAGGGAAGGGAGTATACTAGTCTTGTTTAATCGTCCTATATTTTAAAGACGAGTTCGTTAGTTACGCCGGGAGATAAAAAATAGGCCATGATTGAAGAAATATCACAAAGTCTCTAGCCATTATGAGACAAATAAAAAAACTTCAGGGCATTCATGCGAGACTGTAAGATTGAAGCTAGCAACTAAGGGATGTAGACGTACATATTGACGCTCCTCCAAAAATTATTGAAAATCATGGAATTTTAATATATGGGCAAGTCAGTCAACATAAAAGCGAAGAGAAAAAACTGAGCGTTTCAGTAAAGATAGCGCATCCCCAGATGAAAAGACGGAAAAATAAAAAAACACTTGTTGGAAGTGAACGATGGCAACGACACTTCAAGCTTCGACATGGTGAGCAGGAATGAGGATGAAACCGTTAGCCCACTACTTAGGAAACTATTAACACTCCTAAAAGAGCTTGAATCAATCGACGAAGCTCGAGAATCGCTTAAGAGCCTTACAACTGCTGTAAATAAGCTCGCACTTTGCGTCGTTACTCTACAAAAGAAATAAGAAGCCAATAAAAAATTCATTCAAGAAATCGACGAATATGTGAACTTTCTTGAAGACGAGATCAACGCCTATTAAAACCACAAACAAACTGAAGAAGTTTTATCACTACGCGAAAAAGCTGCTTTACCAAGAAACTTAAAGCCACCGCGGAGAGAGTCCTGTGAAGGCAAGCAGCTTCTCCTCCTTCGGTGTAGCCAATCGTTTTCTCCTGGAATCTTTTTCAAGAAGCACATATACTCCAAGCACAGATGGAGGCCGGTTCAGTACTTATCGGATATATTTTGGCTCTGATGCGTGACGGAATACCTCCCAACTTTGCAAGAGAGACAAAAATGGTTCAGACCGCGTCGGAATTTTCAAATTGGCGACATCGTACTGGTCACAGATGAGAAGTCTCCCAGAGATCTATGGCCACTTGCACGTATAACAGGCGTTAAGACGAACCAACGAGACTGTCTTGTGAGAAGTGTCACGCTGAAAACCAAATCAAACACACTTGAACGTCCTATAGACAAGATAGTCTTACTCGAAGGAGCAGCTGAAGTTTCTGCGGAGGCTTAATTGTGGACTTTCCTTTACGTTTCGTCATGCACCCAGTGACGTTGCACTAGGAACAGTTAACGTTAAAATTGCGTTGTAATCCTCTATAGGTCAATGTTAATGCTTGTGTAGCGCCATTAGGAGCCGGGAGGTAGGATTCTAGGTGCGATTTGTTTTTTGTTAGCTTATCATTATGCATGACTCTTAGAGCTATTTAAACGCTACGGCTTGTTAGCGCGCGAATTTCTCGACGTATTCTCTAGTCCGAAGATTTTGCTGCCGATCTTAGACTCTCGACATAAGCTTCAGCGCCATCGCTACAGCCAGGAAAACATTGTCGAACCTCGCTCGCTCACTCGCTCGATCACAAAACCTCAATCAGCTTCTCGAGTATCTTTAACCGAGCGCGAGTTCGAAATTTTCTAGACGTAGCATCGACAAGATCTGTAAGCTACAGGATCAATAAAGAGATTTATATCACATGAAGCGCTGATCTAAGATTATACAAGAGGGCGTGGATAACAATTTTGATTCAGTGGCATTTTTTTAAATTTAAAATATCTCAAAGTATCTTCAAACTATTCAGAGTATTCACTTTATTGCAAAATCATGTACTAGAAATAGTGAATAAAGCAGAAGAAGCGCGATTGATTTGTACTTTCAAGCTAGTAACGTTCTTCTTTTTCTTTTAGTCTCTTGTCCGGTAACCCGTTGAATAAATTGCCGTCAGATATTTTCCATAGAAATACTCGCTTGGAGTGGTTGTAAGTGGAGTTTGATTTTCTCTAGTTTAAGACATTACTAAGAGTATTAGTTTTTTTTTTATAACCTGCTCACGCTTTTAACTTTTGAGATAAGATAAAAAATGAGCAAGTAACTAGCTAATTAATTGAAATAGACAATGATATCTAATGGCGTTTAAAAATTAGTGAACACAAATTCGAGCATAATTGTGTCAGAAAATATATGTTAAGAACCGTTGATAATCAATTTTAAGAGCCATTTGAGCATTCTCAGAAAGGAACGAATATGATAATGAATTCATTACCAGCGGCAGATCTAGGAGAGGGGCTGGGGGCCAGCTTTCTCCATTCCTTTTTATTTCGGGTAAAAAAATCGTAGAAAGAAGGAGAGCATGCAGGTTTAAACACACAATACCACCCTCCCCCACTGTCAGCTTAAGGCCTGGATCCGCCACTGATCACCAGGCATATTTTAAAAATTAATGAGAACTAACTAAAAGAGCCAAGGTAATGCGAGAGCAATTTTCCACTGGCAAGTTTTCTATTATTCCAAAAAGAAACTAGTTGCATCTAGACTTGTGGGTGCCCCCTATGCAATTAGCATGTCAAAAGACATCTTGGAATATCCTGTAAGATTTAGAGCCAACCAAACTTTTTGATAATTCAAAGGGCGCTGAATCAGATGTACAGATTAGGAAAAAACATAAACATCGATTTACTGACTGTTATCCAGTTATAAAATTGGGAACTACTCTGTCTGGGTATAGATTAATGACTAGAATTAAATTTGTTAAGTTTATACGGTAGCCAAAATGTCACCAGCAAATTCAAGACATGTTTGGGTTTACTTAACTAACTGATAAGTGATTTACTAATGTATTTCTGCTGTGTTATACGCTATAGAACACTTATCTAAGTGTACAATATCCATAGGTACTTGTCTGAAATGCAATTGCACAACCTTTCCCAGGGAATCTTTGACAACAACACAAAGTTGCGATTTTTGTGAGTAGCTTTTTTTCGTCTCTACGATCTTCTTACTCAAGACTACCGACAAGTGAGTCTTTTACTTCTGTACATAAAGATATCTCGAGATCAAGTTTCAACGAAGGAAAAAAATCCTACTCATTTGATCTCATAATGTGCTCCAAAAGAACAAAATCAGGGATGGTTTGATGCTACTCTGGATTTAAGGATTTAAGGAATGCAACCAGGAAATTACCATTCATAGACCCAACGTTTCGACACTCCTGTCTAGTCCCTTGATCAGTGATGACCTGATCGTTGCAATAAGAGGTCCTTTAATATGCCCACTAATTAGCTGCCCTTTTTTTCTGACGAGGTGCAAAAAGGCTTCGGGTAGTAGGTCGCCATCATCACGATTTAAACACAATCAGAAATCGTAGACAGTTAACGGCTTGAACGGCGGGCGCGTAAATTTCGGTATTCAATGAGGCGGACGGACGGAAAAATCATTGGAAAGGCTATTACCGTAGCTTAAATGCTATAAGTTTTGCAGATTTCATGGAGAATTGATCGAAAATAAGGAAAGGCTCTTACTTTCAATGATGTCTCCATTAAAAAAATTTTCCAAGGTTCAAGGGAAGTTCTGAGGGGAACATCAGACACGGCACTTAATATCAGCTATCGTGACAGAGCTAAATAACGTATGCACGTGCGCTAGTTTTTGCCGCAAAAAAACGGATTTTTAAGTAATAATAATAATACAGTAATAATAATAACTTTATTTAAGGAGGGTAAAACATGACAGTAATTCAACTGATGAACTAGTGGAAACAGGAAAATACCCTTAGACGAAAACAGTTTCTCGGTTTTAAATGTCGGCCCTTATCATTTCCGATAATTTCGCCAAATTCTAGACCTAGACGTCCCGAGCCCGCGTTGTTGACCGCATACCCACTGATGTAGCATTTCATGATTCAGCCCTGTCATGCAGGCAGCTATCGTTTCCTTCAAATTCCCGTTTGCGATTTTTAACCGATTATTTTGAACGGCGGTTTTTTTATCTTTAGGTATCATGTATCTTAATTAAAATGTGTTAAAAAACAAAATGGCCGTCGAAATAAAAAGAAAACGAACCGCTCGAAGGAGCATTTTTGCCGAAATAATGGCTTCATTTCCCCGCATCTCGCATTTCTGAAAAATGCTACTTTACAAATTGAGAAGGTACCATGATCTTGGTATGTTTTTGGAGCGAGGAAACATTTGCTTTGTGCACACCAAAGAAGCCTTGAAGGTAACCCCTATTTTAAGGGATAAAAGAAAGAGGGAGTGTGGCTTTTATATGTGGTTATCGGAATAAAAACGTATCGTCTAAAACCATTTTTCTCAGTCTCTTCTTTCGATTGTAATGCGGTTCGAACTTGACTCTATCTATTTTGATGGTGGGGAACGTTGAGTTTCTAGCAGTAACGGCACAAAATGCAGAATTTTTTTATTTTCCCATTATTTCCCTCATGCTTCGCAGCCATATTTATTCCGCATTTCCGCGCTTAGCACATGTTCGCTGCCATTTTGGTAGCCATCTTGTGTAGGATTTCTGGTTATAGTAACGTTGGCGGAGTTGATATGCCAAGTTTCCAAACAAGGACACTGGTGGTAACGTCGATTAGTGGTGATCATTTGAAAATTATCAATCAATCAATCAATCTATCAATTTATTTAACGTGGTCAGAACGCTTAGCTAAAAGCTAGTTTACAGGTAAGCCACGAAATAAAAAGAAAAAAGGAAATTATAAAGCCTTGTGAAGGTATATAAATTTAAATAAATTAAGAATTAAGAACTAGAATATATAAAATGTAAATTGTATTCATTAAAAACAGGCTAATATTAAAATATAAGAATTTAATAATGTAGTCACCGAGTTGAAATATAATTAAAGATAGATCCTCACCGCGCTAGAGTCCCGTGAGATCTAATGTTTTTAAGTAATTTTTAAAACTAGTAAGTGTCTGTATCTTTCGAGACTCGTCCGGTAAAGCGTTCCATAGTTTCGATGCAGCATATCTCCATGATCTTAACCC